AAAAAAGTTTAAAAGTCATGCTCAGAGAGCGCGTGCCATGCTGCATGAGAATTTTCCATCTCAAGCGACACGGGTGTAGACGGCTCTGTGTGCCTCTGTTTGCTGGGGGAGAGAAAGGTTTCCCACTCCCATCACTGTATTCTTGTAAGATGTTATGCTCTGCCATCAACCCCGCAATTTACCTAAGGATTGATAATTCCCAACATATCTACTATAAAAGCTCAATTTTAACGCCACAAAAAAAAACCAGTATTTCCACATAGTTCATGGAAGGCATCAACCCCCACTATCATCAGCCTGCTGTCATGTTTCTGATCCGTGTCCCAATGATCTTATAAGATAAAAAAGCTCCAGAGGTGATTTTACCCTCTCTTAACAGTTTATTAAAATACAGAGACCTCACCAGCCATAGAGGCAGGAACCTGTAATCCCAATGCTCGAGGGAGGCTGAAACAGGAGGGTCACCACAAGTTCGAGGCCAACCTGGGCTACAGAGTGAGAGCCTGTCTCAAACAAACACACACACACACACACACACACACACATACACCTAACACAGAAATGGCTCTGGAGCCCTCGAAAGCCCTTCTTTCCATGCTGGCCCCCTCCCTGCTGGAACACGGATCTGAGGCAGAGAGGACATGACTCAGAGGTCACCCTCCAAGCACCACTCACCGAAAACAGTCTGAGCACGATTCTGCAACAACGACCTGGGCAGCGGCTAGCGTGGTAAGGCACTAATGTTCCCTGTTTATGTAACACTATGATTACCTGCTTTTCCCTTTGCTGTTGTTGGTTTTGGGGGTGCACAGGGTCTTGCTAAGAAATTCAGGCTGTTGTTGAACTCAAGGAAATCCTCCTGCCTCAGCCTCCTAAGTGCTGCAATTACAGGCATACACCACCGTGCATGGCTTGCTGTTTTGAGACAGAGTCTCTCATTGCGTGATTCAGGCTGGCCTTCAACTCTTAGTGATCCTCCTGTCTCAGCCTCTTGAGTACACGGATTCCAGGCAGGCGCCACCTCACCCAGGAATCATGTGCTTGGGAGCGAGCATTCTGAATACACCAACGGGCTCCCGGAGAGTCTGAGGAAAATCATTCTCTGTGGGTTCATCAGACACCTCTTAGATACCAGTGCCCGGCCGCAGGTTTCACACGAAGAACCAACCAGACGGACTGGGTGACTCGCAGAATTCGATGTACGAAGGGCAGGGACCTATACTGCGGAAGACAGCTACAGACCGAGCTGTGTGTGCAGAAGAAAATGAGTCGAATACTGTGATGACAAGAATAACAACAGACCTATCTAGAAAATTTTAAATGTGACTTTTTCTTTTTTCTTTTTTTGATTTTTTGAGATAGAGTGTCGCTATCCAGTTCAGGGTGGCCTTGAACTCACTATATAGCCCGGGTTGGCGTCAAATTTGAGACAGTCCTTCTTCCTCAGCCTCCTTAGTGCTGGGATTAGAGGCATGCACCACCACGCCCAGCTTTGATTCTTTTCAATTGTAGTTTTTCAGGAGCAGCATTTTCTGGGGGGTTTTCATTTAAACTGAGAGCTAAAGACGAAGGAAGCATTCCTAGACGGCAGCAAGAGCAAGTCTTTGTGACAAGAGGAGCACCGTGAGTTCGGCCAGCCTGAACCACACAGCAAGACCCTGTCTCAAAAAATAAATAAATAAAATTCAAATAAATATAAAAAAGCTCAATCGAGATTAAAACTCTGTCATACACTTCAGGTAGTTTATATTGCAAGGAATATTGCTTTGCACACAATTTCTTTAGCATTTTAAATAATTTTACTTATTGACTCAAAGGCTGTAGGAAGCATAAATTACCTACCACTACTTTCTGGATGAAAATTCCACGAAGGAAATCTGAACGGTCGCCATCTGACCAGCAGGTGGCGCCAGACTCCCAAAAATCTAGGTGAGGAGGCGCTGGCCGCGCTGGGAGCTGGGCGTGCGCTCCGCTGCGTCTCAGCTGACCGAGACCTGCCGAACCTGCCCTGCAGCACGGGGAAGCACTGCGCCTTGCTTGCTGAACGCACCGGCGTGAAAATCCTCCCTGCTCTCCCACTGGTTCATTTTATAACCAAAACAACACTGGAAAGATCCAAAACGGGGAGTGGTGGCGCACGCCTGTCATCCCAGCACTCGAGAGGCTGCGGCAGGAGGATTGCTGCAAGTTCAAGGCCAGCAAGGGCTACAAGACAAAAACCCTATCGAGGTATTTTGGATGCATTCTGAGGGCCCTTTACGGTGCTGCTGCTCACCCGGCTTCCTCCTCCGGGGGAGTCCAGATCGCCACCAGCCCACTCAGAGTGGACTAAATCAGAAATGGTCAGAAAAACAGTGCTATCGTTTTGCTTCCATTTGTACAGTTTTGCGAGGGCATGTTTGCGAGTGAATCACAGCTTAACCCCTTTCACCGTCCTTTCCCTCCCCCCCAACCGCCCTCCATCTCTTGGTCCCGCCCCATCTGAGAGAAGTCCACCTCTCTGCCTCCTATTATCCACCCTTTATTTTGCTCTTTATTTATGCTTTGGTTTCTCGTATAAGAGAAGCCCTGTGACATTCAAGCTTGTGCATCTGACGTATTTCACTTAGCATCATGGTCTCAAGGTGTGTCACTTTTCCTACCAGTGACTCCTGTTTACCCTTCTTTAGGGCAGAGTAGTACTCCATGATGTGTAAATACTCTAGAGTGCCTGTGTGTTTGTGTCTTTGCGTGAAGAGGGGAAAGAAGGCAACGTTTTCAACGCCAAGGCAGGGGGGTGTGGCCTGAATGGGCTCGTCTCCCTCACTACTCAGGTCTCATTGGAAGAGGCAGTCACAGGGGCGTGGCCTGACTTTTCAGGTCTGATTGGATGACTCAGTCCCTGGGGGCGTGGCCTGGGAGGGTTTATCTACCTCCCAGCTCCTCCCTGTCCGGTTTGCTGTGCATCTATTTGCTGTAAGTGGCTTTGCTCCACCAGACCCCTCTGCCCCGCTGCACTTCTTCGGGGCTACCGACCATCCACTGACCTTAAACCAAAAGGGACCTCTCCTCCTTAAACTTGCAGGTGTTCGGTATTTTTTCCCAGCCGGGAGGAAAGTAAGTCAGACACAAGACAAGTTGTCTCTTTTTTCCACGGGACCCCTCAGTGCCTAGAATAGTAATTAAACACAGACTCAGTAAACGTTTGGGAAATAAATAAAAGGTTCAAATAATGTCTTCTGCGCAGGTGACCCTAAAATTCAGCTCTGACTTAAGAACAATTAAGTAATTGGCACAAAACTCTTGGGTGGTGTTGACTTTACTGAAGATTATGTATGTGAAACGGAAAACGGATTTATACCGGCGCTGTTCGTTAAAAATCGCTCAACAGCACAGATAACAAATATAAATACAAATGTAAATTACGCCGAGAATCCCGAAGTCTGAGGCCATGTGGGACGTGGGAAACACTTCTGCAGGAGGTGGAGGAGCACCTGGCAAAAAGCCCACGAGCTGTGCTGGGGCGGGAGGCGCAGGTTTAGCGTGGCTCGTTCCCCACGGGGTCGTGCACGGAAGCTGGACCTGGCCTGGCCATGAGGATCTGGTGGCCTATAACAAGTGGCCTGACCTCAGATATCGCTCCGACATCAGGAACGGATTAACACCGCCTTGCTAACGGGTCAGGCTTGCAGACCTGCGTTAATTCCTGCAGGGGGAGGTCATTGTAAAGCGGTGAGCTTGACCCTCCTGCCGTCCCACCACAAGGTCACTCTGCCCCTCTTTCACACGCTCTGCCCTGATGCCACCCACCGCCAGGAACCCAGCAGAGGGTCCTGACCAGAGGCTGAGCTGAACCTGGGCCTCTCAGGCTCCCAGTGTGAGCCAGTGCATCTCTCCTCTACATAAAGTGCCCAGGCTCAGGCATTTTGCTACAGTAACGCAGAACAGACTAGGAGAGGGGAACTGATCAAGCAAGCACAGATAACAACAAGGTGGAGCCAGGATTCTCACTGTCAGAGAAGAGGGTCACAAATACGGAAAAAGACAAAATCTGGATGGATCCCATGGTGCTGGGTAGGAATTAAGGGTACAGTGAGACTCTGTCTCAAAACACCAAAAACAAATCACTCAGCCATTTTTGATTTCCAAGATACCTCCAAGAAGCCAAGAAGATACTTCCTTTTCCTCTCCAATGAGAGGTCCGGCAAGATGGCGCCTGGTCGTCTTCCAGGCCCCTCCAGCGTCTCAGCTTCCATTCTCCTTACCAGTACCCAGCAACAGAGCCGTGTCCTGGATCCTTTCTCCAACCGCAGGACCAGCTCTCTGGGAACACGGACAGCACAAAGGTCCCCGCTGGGAAGACAGTGAGTCCTTAGGGTGGTGAAGGGTGGAGAGCCCACTCCCAAGCGGTTTGTCGGAGTGTTGCCTCTTGGCCCAAGGGACGCTCTAGTGGACAGGACTTCCTCCACAGCAAGGAGTACCCAGGGACTCCCTCTGTGCACACCCCGTGACTGCCTCGCTCGCCCCCGACCCTCTCCTCCTCCTCACTTTGCTGAGTTCCACCTCCTCTTAACGCTGAACTAAGCTGCGTGTATCTCTAAATAGGCCACCGGCTCTGCCCAAATTTGGAGAAACATTTAAGAACTAGTCAAAACTCAAAGCTTTGGCTCAAACTCAAGATGAGAAGGATAAACAAACCCTGCCCGAATGGAATCTAGTTCGGATGCGTTTCCCTCCCTTTCCTAATTAGAGCCAAATGTCTGAATATTTCCCAAATTACCCTGCTGACATCCACGGCATTATTTTGCCTTACAAAAGCAAATGAGCTGATATTTACACTGTTAATCAATCTATTTGAATGCATGCTGGGTTTTCAGCTTATTTACCAGGGGATGTCGTATGAGTCCCCACCCAATGAGTTCTGTGATTGGTGACCTTGCTGACCTATCTGCTTCCGGAGTCACCCAAGGGGTCACGGAAGCAGCAGTGGTGGAAAGAGCATCTCACACAAGCTGCCGTGGATGTTTCTCCCCAGCATGAATATACAGGTGCCAGTGAAAAGGATTCCAGGACGTTAGGGGTTAACTAGTATTCATGGTAGCAACGTGAAATCTTCCTAGGGATCGTATTTAAAAACACCGATACTAACCGTCCCAAACACCTCAGAGGCGCATTTCAAAATCTGCTGTAGGTTTTATCCCGTTTCCACAGCTGGAGGTGAATAATTCCCCCCATTCTATCAGTCAAGAAATGAAGACAATAGTGGAATTTCTCTATTCTTCCAGAAGGGGTCGAGCTGGGAGGTGCCTGAATTGAAGCCGATCTTTGGTGCTCTAAGAAGGCAATCTCTGTGATTATTATGTTTAATAACTCTATTAATAAGGGGTATTGCCAAGTTCAAATGAGTTTTAAATTTTATGAGGCTATCGAATGCCTCAAGAATCATGTCTGTGGAGGCTGGGAGTTCCAGAAAATAGGAGCTAAAAAAGTTAATTTATTCTGACAGAGGATGATTAATACAAGGTAAATTACCTATCTCTAATTAACCTAACCCATTACTGAGTTCTTAAGAAGGATACGGATATCAAACCTGTCATTCAGAAAGAATTCAGCTGAGCAAGTCTGGGGTGGCCACACTCTGTGGATGCCCATCATGGCGTTTGTTAGCACTGGGAATGCTTAGAACGAGGCTCATATTTAAGCCAGAACTTAAAATTCTTCTTTATTTAAATATCTGTTAAGAGAACTATGAGGCTTCAAATGAACTAATACACTTTAAGATCAATTCAAGTTAAAAAGTCTTTAAAAGTTTTTTTTGTTTTGTTTGTTTGATTTTTGTCTTTTTGAGACTGCGTTTCACTGTGCAGTTCAGGCTGGCCTTGGACTCAGTTTGTAGCCCACGCTGGCCTCGAACTCACAGTGATCTTCATGCCTCAGCCTCCCGAGGGCTGGGATTACAGGCGTGCACCACCACGCCCAGCCTAAAAGTTTATTCTTAAATCATCCTAATCTCTCGTATACACAGAAGTCTGATAATAGAAATAGTTAAAACGTGATTCCTACAGGTCTAATCGCCCTCCTTGCACCGGTCACCTCCCCGCCACTGTGACGCGCCGTGTCCAGCAGGATGTCGAGCGGAAGGGGAGTCTAAGCCAGGGATGGGATCTGATCACCGTGAGGCTTGGTGCTGCTTTGCAAGGTCTGAAGGCCGCCTGGGAGCAGAGCTCAGAAAAGTGGGTGGAAAGATACCGTACTGCGGGGGGCCCGAGAGGAGGCAGAGGACGCTTCCACCCCATTCCCAGCTGCCTCGGTGTTCCGAACAGCAGGGCTGTGACCCTCCCGCCCGTGTGGCGACGAAACAAGATGGCTTTGGAGCGGGAATTAGGCTGGGCGGGAGCGGCCCCCATGAATGGGACTGGAGCCCTTTCTAGAACAGACGGACAGCGACAGGTGACACACGCAGCTAACCCCAGCACTCTGGAGGCTGAGGCAGGAGGATCTAAGGCCAGTGCGGGCTACACAGCAAGTCTCAGGTCTGCCTGGGTTACAGGAGACCCTGCCTCAAGGAGGAGGAGGAGAAGGGCGGAAGGAGAGGGGCGGGAGGGAAGAGGATACAAGCGGTCTCACCTTCCCCGCTTTCCAGGGAGAGGACCCAGCAAGGGGACAAGGCAGGAAGGGTGCTCTCAACAGAGGCCGGGTCTCCAGCACCGTGCTGTGGGGATCCCCGGCCCCTGGGACTGTGGGGGAGCACGTGAGCTGTCAACACCCCGAGCTGCCGCTCTTGGGGAGGGCGTCAGGAACGGAGATACTCATTGACGCGTGGTGCAGGGGGCAGCTTCACGCTGGATCCGATATGAAGGATCTCAAATGGCCCCACAGCCTCTGGGCTTGGAAAGGATTAGGTCACGGGGCGAACGGCGGGCTGCTGCTGGAGGTGGGGCGGACCAGAGGTGACCGCCTGCCCTGCCTGCTTCCTGACGGCTGGGTTAAGCGCCTTCTGCTCGGCCACGCCCTCGGCCACGCCCCTTCGCCACGCCACGCCCCCCGTATTCCTTCTTCAGTCTTTGGGCCACGCCCCTTCCACTCCGCGTCCCGCCCCCACTTGTCACGCCCCTTTGGCCACCTCCCTCTCCCACCTCCCTTCTCCATGCCTTCAACCACGCCCCTCCGGCCATGCCACGCCCCTCTGCTATTGCCTCTCCACGCCCGTCAGCCACGCCTCTCTCCCCCACCGCCACGTCTCTCCCCTCGCTATGCCCTTGGCCACGCCCCTTCGGCCGCACCACGCCGCTCCGTATTACCTTTCCCCTTCATTCAACCACGCCCCTTCCCTACGCCACGCCCCTTCTGTCACGCCCACCGCGCCTTGGAACCTGCAGACTGAATTGACGCCTTGAAGGAAAGAAACTTCCTCCTTTCCTACGTGGGTGTCAGGTGTTGAGTGCTAGTGAGAAGAAGATGACCAAACCGAGAAGACAGGAGGCGAAGCTGGGGATTTAGCTCAGAGGCGCAGCGCCTGCCTGGCAAGTGCAAGGTCCTGAGTTCGATTCCCGGTACGGGAAAAAAGAAAGAAAGAAGACAGGAGGCAAGGCCAAGCCCTGGAGTTATCCAAGAGAGGTTCCCTAACCAGGGGACCAGTGGGGGGCTGACGGGAGAAACGGGCGCCCTCCCTGCGGACGCCCTCGGAGAGAAAGTGCCTCGCAATGGCAAATGATGGAAAATGGCTCCACGGTGTAAGACCGGCAGCAGCGGCGACCACGAAAACCTCGGATAGGGCGCTGCCCGCTCCGCCCCGCCTGCACCGCGGCTGCTCCCGGCGGAGGACTGCGTGTGAGTCAGGCTTCAGATCAGCTGGGCTTGCTCTGCATGTGTGCACGTGTGTAATGACAAAGCATTGAGAACACTGTGGGATGTGATCAAGGAATTGTCCTGAGAGAGTCTGCAAAGCGCCCCTGGGAACTGTGCTTGGAGGAAAATAAGCACTACATGAATTCTTAACTGTGGGAATTATGGAAGGAGCTGTTTTAAAGATTTAAAGAGTCATTCATATTTGATTTTATTATATAAATTGAAGACACATACTTACCTCTTTCTTCTCCCAAAGGAGCACTGTTAGAATAGCAATCTCGCATGTTTATAAGCCCTTAAAGTTTTCTCTTTTTTTTTTTTTTTTTTTTTGAGACGGGGTCTCGCTATGCAGTTCAGGCTGGTCTTGAGTTCACTTTGTAGCCCAGTTGACCTCAAAC